TTCGTTACCAGCTAGCCAGATATGAAACCGTGGTTTTGCGCAGTCTGCTATTCAAACAAGTCCCTGTGATCATTATGGGTTAAATAGTACAACATTCTAAACTTCAAACACGAACCTACCGTCTAGTCGGTTACGGTCAGAAAATTGTGACAGTCGTGGTCGCCATGTGACTGCCTGCAGTGGCTCTAGATTGAGTCTAATCATACAGCGCAACGAGTGCGTTCCGTAGCCAGATCAGTAAATATCCTTCAATATTTCCGATCGCAACTGAAAGGGCAAGGGGTCTGTGGTTCAGTCGTCAGGCTCTATAAATCCTTAAATATAAAATGACCAAAGAATCCGCGATCCAGCCTCGGAATATTGAACGCTATGATTGAGTATGGGTGGCTGACGGACAGACGAGTGGGAGAACCGTTGGACGGGCGGCGACAGTTAATGAGACAAAAATGTCTTCAGTCTTTCTGGCAGTTGTCGGTAGTCCTTTCTGTCCGTCTGTTAAAATACCGAAATGTTTGAGCAAGTATGTTTTGGCCAGGCAGATAGTTTTTAATGAACGCAGAACTCGAAAGTACGGATAACAAAAACGTGGACATGGTAAGGCTGACTTATATGGTTACCCAGTGGATTTTACATTCCATAAAGTTCTACAAAGTGTTGCTATTTAGGTGGTTTTGAATTAAGTGTATTTGCTTTTATGCTTTTGGGAGCTGTGTATGCGCAGGTTTTTCTATAGAATATCATTGTTGATTGCGGTATGACTGTGTACCTTTCAGCCATAGTTCTTTCGATCGCCTACCGCTTGTTCTGAAGGCATCTGTTGCTACTATTACGCCTTGCGGCTACGGTTTCTGCGATTCACAAACCAACATATGTGCAGCAGTCGAAGTCTGTATTTTACAAAGTGCATTTGGGCTTAGGATTGTGGGTAGGGTTAGGATTAGTTTTTGGGATCAAGACTAGCTTTAGGGTTAGGATTTGGATTAGATTTACGGTTTGGTTTAGGGTTGAGATTGAACTTGTGGTTAGGGTTCTGGTTAGATTTAAGGGTAGGAGTTCCATTCCGACTATGCACTCTCGGTTAGCCTTCTAAGAGGAGGGTTTCTTCCAGAAGACGATTGAGACAGCTCACGTAATCGAAATTATCTACTTAGCAAATCTAAAGATATATGTACGGGAAACTGAATGCGCTTGCCCTACGAGTCATTATTTCACCGTCGACATAAGTTAGCAGATGAAATGGCAGGATCCAGAACTAACCTTCATCGGATATGCCTTGACGCGCAGCGAAATACAGGAGTTGCTGCTGTCGGGCAAAATGCCACTTTGTACGTAAGTCGAGTGCCTCGCCAGCATTGCCATCATTTTTGGACAAAATGGTGCATCCCTTTGTCTGCAGCGTGGTCTCCATGAGGTCCAGAATGGACTTCCGTGTGTTCATGGCATTCTCTGAGGACCCTAGACGGAGACTTAACTTGTCTGCAGCATTCGTGGGGGGAGGCGGCAGGCTGTTCTTTTCCTCGCGCTTCAAAAGTTCACTTTTCAAATCTGGAAGTTGTTGAGCTAAAAACTAGGTTTGATATTGATAGAGGATAAGCCGCTATATGAGTGCTTCGTAACAATAAACATTGTGAACAAACCTTTTGCTACCTTAGCCTGCACGCTTTGAGCTCAGCCCAGAGTCATAACCGCCCAAAGACAAGAATTTTGGCGTGCATCTCTCTGCTACGTACCATTTCACTGAATTTTCTAATGGGCCGACTGATCCCGATAAGAAGCCGTCACATATCCAGAGACAGTGACCGATCTCAGAGCGGAAGTGTATTTTCGAATATGGAATTTTACTTCAGTGAAGTTGTACCTATTTATTTTAATGTTACATAATTCTAAGATGTTTAATACATGTCAGGATGTCAGCTTTGCAATGCACTTCTTTTCGGTCGCCCATTACATCCGTACTTCGTAATAATTTACTAATTACGTGATACGGATTGTTGATTGATTTTCGATGCCATCTTAAATTCAATTTTATATTGCATAGAAAAAATGCGCAGAAACACCCTTTCTTGGGCGCATTCGGTAGTAACTTATATCTTCAAATTGCAAACTTGAAGGAAACGTATATTTTGCCTTTAGCAAACTTAACAATTATGAAATTTCTAAGATTGGAAAGACATTTTACAGCCTATATTTTCCCTTCTTTTTAGCACCATATTTGAAGAAGACGAACTTTGCTATCAAACGAGTACAGGAAAGAGTATTTTTACCTATATTTCTATAAAATATATTTGAATTCATGAGGGCATAGAAAATTGATAAGAAAAATGCATTTCAGAATAGTGTTTGACATTTCACGAGATCGGTCAGTGAGTGCAAGTATAAATACAGGTATGTATACTGGGCGAGAGTTGAATACATGTCTAAACGACTTCACATGTCAAAAGTGACATTCCATTCCAACATTATCAAGCCTTAAATAAACAACTGATACTTCGCTGACTGAACGCCAGCTTTCATGATCACATTCAGCTGAAAGAACGCTTGGAGAGTGCTTACATTTTGGAATTGAGCCGGAGTTGGGTGAATAACGGGAACCCGACAGCTATCTTCTCTTCCCCGTATGATTGATATTTTATTTTTACCCTTTCTCTTGCTTGTTATTGTTATTCTCCTTTTCGTAGGATGGGATAGACGTGTGATATTTTCTTTGTGCTGAAATTGTTGGACATGAAACCTGCGTATATCTTAACTCAGTGGCCTGGTCGTGCCCTTTTTCTTCTCCGTTCTCTGGAGTGATGGGTATTGATTTCTTTCTGAATGTTATCATATCGCTTCTCAGTAAACTTAAATGTAAGCTTTTTCCATATAAGCCCTGCAAAAGGTTAAAAAAAAACAAAAATATCGATCTGTAAACGACCCAATCCGATATGCGTTTAACAGCTAAATTCTGATGCCTCCTACCGGTGCCTGTTCAAATAAAGAGATTAGAAGTACTGAAGATAAGGACTGAATAGGTAAGCCTAAGTTGGTACTAATATAACATTCCTACAGGTTGTAACTGGTCCCATTAGCCGTGATGGTGGAAATCAAGATTATCCATTTTTTATACACCTAAAAAGTACATTTTACTTATTCGTCTAACTCATTTTAGCGGTTGTCATTTCTGTATGCCTAATATGTTTATAAAACTTTTGATCAATCAAGATGTTTATGAATTCGAGCAAAAGTCTACGGTACCCTATATTGAGGCAATTTCTCATGTTAATATCTGATGTATAATTATTTTGCGCATATAAGCGTCTTTTCTATTCCAGGAGGGCAATTTAACCAAGGTAACCAAACAAGACTTATCACATTTGAAAGAGATTTTTTTCCGGTGTAAATAATCAGTGGCATATTGTTAATAAACAGGTTAAACTTAGTTTAAAAAAAAAAGCTGTGTCAATTTTTAAAAGTCAGATTTGCTCTAAAGCGTAGCAATGACGCCCCAGGCGTTTTATACACTGCTACCTTTTTTACATCGTTTTTAATAACAAAATACTATCTGTAAAACTACTGTGCAGTTTCATTGAGCCGAATGGCGTGCCTTGTAAATTTGTTTTTTGGTGTATGCGTTCGCATTAGCTTTAGAATGGCTGGTGATTTTTTGTTATGCTAGGTATATTTCATGGGTCAAATAATGTATTTTTTGATCTAGGTAGCCGTGATACGTAAGGATTTATCTGTAGTAAAGCGTTTCAGGTTCTGATTAGGATTTCAGGTTGGCTTTCAGATTTTGCGGTTAGGCCTAGCATATTGGGTTAGGATTTGGGATTGAAATTAGGATTTGGATTTGGTGTTCCAAGTTTTTGGTTGGGGTTAGGTTTTTAGCTAGCGTTAGGATTGGAACTGTGGCTAAGGTAAGGGTGGTGGTTAGGGTACGGTTTTGATTCAAGGTTTGGGTTTGGTTTAGAGTTAGAGTTAGGGTTAGCGAAGTAGTTCGAGTCAAGTGTACTATTAACTTAGTCCGTCCATAACGCCTTACCAAATACGGCTTTCTTTAACTTATAATCTTAGACTACCTGTTTTTCAACTGCCAATGTGCTCCTTATTCACATCTATTAAATTGAGCGGTCTCTCCATGTATCTCCTTGGAGTAAAAAACCAAGTATATGACAGAATTTCATGTTTTCTCCGCGGATTCTGGTAATTTCTGAGTTCGTCTGCCATACTGATACAACTAATACTAACATCTTCCCGTATCACAGGGGTCCTTCTGTCTTGTTTTTTCACTGGGGCTTACATACTCAATCGTTGGCGTGCTCCAGGTGCACACTTGCAGACCAGGCTCTGGACAAGAACTAAAGAGCAGAATTGTTAAGAGCTTCTGCATGTGCCTATCCCCACAGTATTCAATGAAATATCGCTACTCGGTATCTGGATCCTTAAATGTGATTAAAATTGAAACACAAGTACGTCCCTTCTTATGGACCTTCACTTAACGAGCTTTTAGTCATGCAAACGAATAGGATGTATGCATTACCGGGTAGCGGTAGATTATGGAAGCCCTTTTAGTCACCACTAACCTCAGGATCATATAAAACTGGAATAGTGGTAATGAGGGTTTTAAGGGTGGGGCCTCACCGCGGAAAAGCAGTGGAATGTGTATATGAAATGAGGAAAACTAAGTAAAGATCCGCCAAGTGTATTTTTGAAGGCCTATATATAGGTACAATATTGACATTAATGGCTAAAAATAAAAAGTTATTCTCAATAAATAAAGGGAATTTAAATTTTTTAAATACAACAAACCAAATTTGTATGTGTCGTTACATGGAGGTAGTAGTTAGCACACAGAGAATTACCTCTCACAACAATCAAATAATAAACCACGCCAGGCCAGGCTATGTATTTTAAACCCAGGGGGCTCGCATTATCTATCTTTACCTATTACTTTATTACTTGTGGTTTTTAGGATAAGAACCTATGTGTATCGAGTATTTATCACATCTGAATGTACATTTTAACCCAGTATAGTGCCAGATAAAATAAGTTTGCCTTTCAACCTATAAGCATTTGGAGTTTCTAACGATCCTTCGAATCATAACTCGTTTGTAAGTTGAGGAGCATTCGTATTTATGCTAAAACGCAGCAAAATCTATACATAATGGTGCACGCGAATAGAAAACGCCTGGCAATACAGGTATATTTTTGATACAAATGCAACGACCTTCCTAACCCATATTCGGTGCTGAGAGACAGTTCGACCAAAGTAATTCGCCATTCGGGTGGGTGGACGCAGAGGAAACATTTTCCAATGCCTTTACTGGTGAGCCAGATAGCCGAGCAATCATCACGCAAACACTTAGCACGAGGGATGAAATTATAGCAGGTCACGATCCGCACGTTGAGCAATTAACGCACAAGTAACAAATTATCCTCGATAAGGGGGACGGTTAAATGTCATAGGTATGCAATAGCATATCAACCGTATCCTATAAATATTCCAACTCCTTGTATTTGAAATATCGGTTTCTACTACTGTCTCTGAGCATGGGTTTGAGAATGAATCCGAAACGTCAGGTGAATAGAATGCTTGTCCCAGCGACTGCGTGTACTTCTTCTGAGGTAGGTTTTCGCTAAATTCCGGGAAGTGTACCCATTCCTGAGCTCGAACTACAGTTCTGCGAACCCTGCAAACAAATTTCAGGACGAAATTTAACTTGGTA